TGAAGAGCTTCTAGTTTACATACTCCAACAACTTCATAACCAGCAAACATGAAGGTTTTAATAACTTTGAGCTCATGAACTAATACAAAATTTTTGCCCTCCTTAGATTACACCACATTTCATTATGCCTACTAGGGTCTTGCAGTTTCTGAGTATTCCTGATGCCTTAAACTCATTTAAATCTCTGGGAAGCATCTGCAATGGTCCTATATTATCTAAGGACTTCCTGATTTCCAAATAAGATTGATGTCCTAAAACACGTTTCACTGGATGAGGAAGGCCTGAGGTAAATTTCCTAGTCTGAGAAAGCTCTTCAAGGCATACATGGTCTGCAGTGTATATACTCAACTCATCAAAGTAAGATCTAAAACAACTCTTGCATTTGATTCCTCAGGATACCCCAGACCTGAATACCAGGGAGCATTCTGAGGTTCGGTGAGGTTTTAGGGACAATTCTTACATTTAATTTTTTGCAAAATTCAAATTAAAAAATAAATTATAATTTAGCCCCATATCTTTTGTAAACAATGGTGTAATCATCCCAGCTACTTGGGAGGTGGAGATTGGAAGGTGGTTCGAAGCCAGCCTGGGTCAGCCTGACCTTCATCTCAAAAAAGCTGAATGTGGTGACATAAGTCTGTTATCTTAGTGAAACAGGAGGCATAAATAAATAGGATCAGAGTCCAGGCTGGCTTGAGCAAAACCACAAGACCCTATTTGACAATTACCTAAAGCAAAAGGGCTAGGGGCATGGCTCAGTTGGTAGACTTCCTGCCTCACAAGCACCAGGCCCGGAGTTCAAACCCCATTTCCTACTAAAAATAAGTGAAACAAAAATATTAATACAGCAATTTATTATCTTAACCAAAAAATTCCCTTAGGGCAGTTGGAAAAATATTCTCACGTATATACTTTTCTATCTTATGAAGAGTGGTGTCAAACAGACTCTAAGACAATAGGCTTGACTTAATCATGTGCTTACAGTTTGAAAAAACAATGTATATTATGCTTAGTTTCACAAGCGCACCTATAGTTCTATGTAAAGTAATTTTAATCTGAGGATGGAAATGTATAATTTTTCAGGGAGGTAAAATGCCATCAAATGCATAATCTGGATGCATTTCTGACTCTAACTTTCTGAGATTAAAGGTTTGCCAATCCACAGCCATTCATCTCAGTAACTCCATTTGCTTAAAATGAGTCATCAACCTCAAAGGCTACATCCATCTAGTCAGAAAGTCTCACTTAAACATAACCTTCTTACTTTCACTGAAGTCACACATCAAAATAACAAACACATTGTTTTACTCACACAAGTATGAATACATAAAATAAATAAACAATGAATTAAATTTTGAATTCTGGAATTATATTAACCCTTTAGGTAAACCATAAATGTCAATTCTTCATTATGACTTTTGGGCCTGTGATAAAGAACTGCATGTTAAAATTCTTATTGTAGTGCTATGCTTCGAAAGATAGGTATTTGAAAGAATACTTTGGTGTGCAGACATGTTTTAGCAGATTTATTGGTTCCATGGATTATCCAGATTTTGCAAGTTAAGAAATTTTCCAGGATGCCAGATTATTGTGTAGAATTTCAGGGAATAAAATCCCATTGGGAGTGTCGTTAAGAGAACTGGTGACATCATGTGAGAACTCATTGCTACAGAGTTGGAAACGGAGGGAAAGCAAAGAAAAGTTAGCAGCCTGTGGAGTCAGGATTTGCCACCTGCAAGCAAGCAACTAGAACAATGCTCCAAAGTTTTATGTGGAATTCTTGATCCCACAACAAAAACTTTGGTCTAATTTCACTCTTATAAGGATAGTGTGGTCATCATTAAGATATTTATATTCTTTAAATGCTGACCAAATCTATTCATATATGACATGATTCTGGAAACAATACAGTGGATGCTTTATTTAAGTTCTTTGCATCTATAAATGTTGCACAGTACAAAAGTGTTATACTCATTCATCTGAGTCACTATATAGAACACCTAGGGAAAGGTACTTGCAAGAGGACAGGTATATACATCCTCAGTCTCACACAGATGTGATAAGCACATCCACTCAAAGATTTAGTGACTGTTCATGTCTATGGAAGACCATACCATAACTTCCATCCCCTAATAAACTGAAATGTCCTATAGACAGATATTAAAGTTACTCTTTTTTCATGTTTCACAGCACAGGAGTCATACAACTTTCAATATTTAGCCACAGTGTTGGGAAATGGTTTTAAGGCCATTTCAATTCTGAGTTATCTTCTACAGAATCTAGTGGTAAGAGAAAGAGCTCAAAAAGATAAAATGCTCCTCTCCCTGCTCTAAGGATGCTGAGTCTAGAGCTAACACCAGAAGGAAGGGAATTCAACAGGCCATTCGAATACAGCTCCTCCTCCTAGTCCTTTTAGTGCATGGGTTATGTTCCACAGAGACTGGAACTAGTAAAGGAAGGAGCAAGTGAAGGAAGTTCAACGTGGATGTGACTGTTGGATGTAACTTAGTAGATATGAACTGCATGTATGTATATTTCCTTATAAATAAAAATGAATGGAAATAATCTCTGCCTTTCCTAGGAGTGGCTGAGAAGCTAAGATGGCAGAGATAGCAGAATACCAAGGATCTATAATTAACTGGAGTTTCACAGAACTATGCACTGAGGCTCACGACCTTTTGAAGAATGACTAAGAAATGTAAAGTAGATGAACAAAGTCATTACATAATTTGGCAGGTTAATGATAATCCAGATAAGCTATTTCCTTTGTAAAATTTATTTATTATTATTTAACACTTCAGATCTTAATATTAGCTATAGATGTTAATATTGCCACAGATCTTAATATTGCACAAAAAAAACTTCTATCCTTTAAATCTTCTTACCTGTTTAGGTTGCTCTAATATTTGAAGGTATGGGCCATCTGCTAAAAACAAAAACAAAAACAGAAATCAAAAGAAACTGTGAGGCTTCTCAAATTTGGTATAAAAAATATACAACAATTCAAAAACTGAAATTATGCTCTTAAACTGAGGTTTCAAATCAATTTTATAGGTAAAATTACAAGGGTTTAATTTCTTTTTCTCCTTTGAAATATTAAATTTACTCTCACTGTAACAATAATTTTACAGTTTTAGAGAACCACAATAAATAAACATTTGTTGAATGGTAATGGCACACTGCCCAGTGCACCAAAAGGTGCGATGGCTGGCAAGGACTACCATGTCAATAGCTCACACAATCTTGTCTTCCAACAGAGCACTTTTAGGAAAACACAAATACCAATTATAAGCAGTAGCCACTTCCTGGGCACTTTGAAATTTTCTTTTTCCTTCACATATAAGACAGTGACTTCCACTCTTTACAAAAACCGTGTTCAATGTGAAATTAGGAGAGATAGAGAGAAGTTCTACGTGTGGAAAAGACACAGGTAAGTACCCCAGGCTGCCTATTTCTCTTACACTCAGCTTCTGTTCTTTCCCCTACTTGAGTCCATAAGTATTGTGTTCGTCATCTAACTGGTCTGTTCCTTCCCTTCCCCTAATAATTTCATTTGTTCTATGAGATATAGTTGCCCTCTTATTAATCAGTAGCTTTTAAGGGTTCTATAAAATTTCTGAATATTATGTTCTCTTATGACCACTGTTTTAAAACAGCACAAGCAATAACATTTAAATTAATAAAAATTTATATCTGCAAAAAACCAAAA